GTATTCTTCAGTCTAAGCAGGACAGATGAGAAAATAGTACCAAGGAAATCTGAAGGAGGAATTCCACAAACACCAGGCTAGAAGCAACTCCAGAAGATCTCATAAACTCATAGATTACTCCGATCTCATACACTAAGCCTTTTTGTCCCCCAAATGGGAGGCATACCTACACTATTTCTAGCAGATGCTCATCTAGCTTGAACCACAGTCAGCAGAAGCAGGATGGAGAGCGTCTACTCTGAGATTGATCTTGGAAGGTCATGCTGCAAAAAAACAGCCTCAAAGCCCTTTAAAGCAAGCTCTTCTTTTACATCTAATACCAACTGGACTGACCTACTAAAGGATAATTGCAAACTATGCTCATTCAAGCTGTCAAAAAAGTGCGTGTTCCTACAACATAACCTCCCACTCAAACCCAGGCAACACCATGCATATCCCCTAATTCTCTTCTATACGACCCTGCAGGGATTTTTGCTTCTATTTCGTAAGAAAAATAATAACAAAATAATTGGAAGGCCATCAAGCTTGGATTAGCACATAGCATGCACTCTGAGAATAAAAAAAACACACTGGGTAGCATGTCCTTATACAAAGACCCCAATTTCACCATGTTTGAGATGTATGTTCTTCAATATTTCTGAGCTTCTCAGATGTCAAAACCCAAAGTGATTCAATGTTTTTAAAACAGAAAGGGTCAGAAACATACACCAGATGAGTCATCTACAGTCTTAGGAAACATCAGAGATGGAAAAGGCTTGTTTGGACTCTCAGCAGGACTATGTGACCCATGCTGGATTGTACTTTATGGGATGTTTTACAATGTCTTGTTCAGCCCGGTTGTAAATGACTCAAAAGTGATGGGGTTTCCACCATCTCTATTACAAGGCTATTCCAGAGTCAGTCTGGAGACCTCACTGTTAGAAAGTTTTTCCAGCCATGACAGTGAGAAACTGCTTGGCAAGAAAGGGCTTGGTTGGGCTTGGTGGAGTGTAAGACACTTTCCAAGGACACAAATTGATTTAACTGCCCATTTATGGATCTTGGAAAGGAAAACTGCTACTAATGGAGGACTAAGGTCTTTCCCGCCTGAGGAGATCCAACCAAGCCCTCTTTCTAGAGGAATCTGGGGCAAAAGTAAATGGGAAGTCAAAAGGGTTTAAATGCCATGGAGTCATTTCAGCTAAGGAGACCTGATCACCAGTTATGCAGCAAGGTAGGCAACAGCAATCCTGGGCAAATGAACCTGCCGCTTGTGGACCAGAGGTAAAACAATATTGTTATGTCGTTGGCTACAATCTTTCAGCTTGAACACTGCCATCACAGGGTTTATATAAAATATACAAATGTGTATATTTTAATTGAGGTAGTTGGGGACAGTAATCTTGTCTCGTTTTATATTAGCCCTAGTGTCACATTTCCTCATGTTAGTTTTATATCCGTGGCCTAACTAGCCCTTCTGATGGTGGTCGTGTTCTCGGGATGCTCAGTCTGTCTTGGAAGAGGAACAGTTGCACAATGCCTGCATGTGTCAGACGGCTGGAAAGCCCTCTGGTGCAAAGATGCTGAGCAGGTTGAGAGTAGATTAAAAGAGATTTGAAAAGGTCCCTGCTTGAGGGTTTCTAAAAGAATTGTTATAAGCGAATCTAAAGAATTTAAGTAGTTATAGCCTTGTGAGACTCCGTGAGAGCATGTTCTGGCCTAAAAAGCTCCCAATCTAAATACCTTAAGTATTCTCAGTATAGCCTCAGGCTGATATAGCGTGACACATAAGTGCTAAACTGGGCAATCCCACCAGTACAATAAATAAAAGCCATAGGATTAGGAGCCTGCCTTGGAGACAGGTGCGGGAATCTAACTTCTGCTTTGAGCGAGGGCTCTTGGTGTTCCTCCCACCATGTGCTCTGAGCTGGCAGCTCCACCGCCCTGGAAGCTGCACCAGTGACACCTGCTCCTGCACCTCCTGCCTGTCCCAGTGGAGCTACAGACCCTCCTTGGCACTTTTGGAAGGCTCGGAGGGCACAGTTCTCTTCCTACACTCAACGCCTCCCCCAGGCTCCATGCACCGCTCTCACAGCGGCTCTCGTGGAAGACCCTGCTGAGCGGTGTGCGGTGGCTCTGCAGCCTGGCTGCCAGCACGTGCCACGGCCTTGTAGCCACAGGCACGAGGATGACGTGAACAGTCATGCTGTCCTGGGGAATGCAGGTGTGGATTAGCTGTCTCTGTGCAGAAGCCAGCAGTGAAGAGCAGGGAATTGTGCATGGTGGAGAGAGCTGTGCCGACCTGCACTCATGCACAAGCTGGTTATGGGTTCTCCTGTAAAAGACCCTCCCAGGGTCCACCCTGCTATCCCAGCCCATGGATCTGCACCCTTTCCTGCAGAAGACAGCTTGACGTCAGGTCTGATTAGCTCTGTTCACCACTAACCGGCTGTCCTTTGGGTCCTGGATCACCGGGGCTCCCTGGAAGGCCTGTTCCTCCTGGTGATCCTCGTTTCCCTGTTTGGCCAGTCTGTCCAGGCAATCCTCTTTCACCCTAAAAATAACAGAATTCAAGTAACTCCAAAGGACGGGAGCTAAATATAACAACGCTCAGCTGAAATAGCCATAGATGGAAAGATGGAAAAGAGCAGCTCGTTGGGATAAGGAATGTGGTTTCATCAGGAGATGCCTCAGGTCTGCTAAGGCGGATTATTGCAAGATGCACAGTGTGAGCTCAGTGATGGGCATGGCCACGTCCCCTCTTGTGCTTCATGCAGAGCAGGAGCTTCAGCAAAGCTGTAATGCCTGCATGGGGGCTAAGGACAACAAGGGGGTGAAACATCTTCTGTTTGCACTTCTGTGTGTTGTCTGTCCTGCCCTGCAGTTTCTCATAATCTCTTCCCCCCAGCAGGATAGCAATTGATGATTAATCCATTGAAAATGTTGAAGACACGCCAAGACTTCAGCTGGAGGACTTCAATCCAGAGGCTCCAAAGCCAATGCTTTCCCCAGCACCAGCTCCGTAGCTTAAGGACACAAGAGGGGCTTCCGAGCCCCAGCACCACGCTTCGCTCCCCACCTCTTCCCTTGCCGAGCGCCAGGAGCAGCACAAGCCCCAGACACTCAACCTGGGGCAGACTGGGAGAGAGGAGCAAAGGCGGTGAGAGCTTAGGATGGTTGAGCAGCTGGAAAAGGGGCCACAAATTTCCCAGGAGCCAGCCTATGAGTCCGTCATAACCACACAAGGGTCTTTCAGCCATTTCTGGTAACAGCCTGTTATTCTATCCAGGGCAGCTGGAGGGCAGCAAGTGACAGTTTAAGAGTGATGTGTTCTGGGAGACATAATTTAAATCAGACCTGATGGCCTCTCCAAACCCAGTTGGAGTCTTCCTATTTACGGAGTCTTTCTACAACAGCTGAATTGCTGTTGGTCCAGTTTAGATCCTGTGGCCAGCCTGGACCAGGGCAAGGACCAGGAAGAAACTCCAAGGTCACTAAAGCAGCTTGTCCCTGCTTCCACCCACAGCAATGTCCAAGCCCATACTGGTTCCAGCTGTTCCAGTCCAGTAAATACATGCTAAAAAAAAGTGGCTCAAATTTCCCTTCAGCAGTTCAGGCCTCACAGGGCAGCAGCTAGAAGATATTCGAATTTCCCAGGGACTCATCCATCCTGGATACCCTACAGGCAGGCTGTAGCAGTTCCTTTGTAACTTCTCCAAGGTCATGCTTTTTTCGCCAGGTTTCTGATGAAAGATGGCTAAAGTGTTCGTAGTGTGGATATGTGTACCTGTAGGCTCCTGAGGTCAGTGAACTTTGACGAAGGAGGAAAGGTCTCTGGGACATTCAGCTGCTGTGAATGTCATGAAAATGGATGGATGGATGAGGACAAAGATCTACTGAGCCTCTAGCTAAGTGAAAGATGGCAGCGGGAGTTGAGACTTTATTAGACCTTGGAGAATCCAAGCTCTAGAAACAACAGCCTCACAGACCGGATTGCTTGTAGAAGTATCTTAGAGAGTCAGAAACTCACCTTGAATCCTGGTGGTCCCTGTGCTCCCGGGAGTCCTGGTATGCCAGGGTTCCCTCTTTTGCCTGACATCCCTGTCACACCTTCTTCCCCGTCGTCACCCTGCTCTCCCTAGGACAGAAACCCAGAAGAGGTTATGAAACAAGACGTTCTTTCCACCTCTGCACAGCTTCTGGGGGGACAGGGGAGTGGTGTGGTTCTGCTCTCAGCAAGCACCATGCATCTGGGTGCCCCAGCACACTGGGGATGGGTGGATTTGCAGAGATGTAGAGAGAAGTCTGTGCATGCAAGTATCTGTCAGGCTAGAAACACTCGTTTATTTACAGACTTGGCCATGCAAAGGCAGCTGCTGCCTCTATGTGCATGTGAGATATGAAGAGGAACATATAATCCACTCTAGGTGCATGTAAACTGGAATATCTATAGCTGGAATATATTCATTTCTCCTGTGCTACCTTTTAGTTTTCCAGTTCCTAAGTTGTGTTTGCTATTGATGCTCTAAGGCTACAACCGCAAACTCACCAGTATCCCAGGCAAGCCATCCTTCCCAGGCACTCCATCCACTCCAGGGGCACCCTCTTGGCCCTGCCTTCCCACCACTCCTCGAGGACCTGGGAGCCCAAGGATGCCCTAAAATCACAAAGGTGTTGGTGGTGGAGCTCCCAGAGAACATCTGCTGGGGCAGAAAATTGAATTTTTACCTACCGGTGAGCCTCTGCTCCCTGCATTGCCCTGGGCTCCTTGCTTTCCTTTTTGACCCTGCAAATAAAAAAAGAAAGACATCTAAAATTGCAGCAGCTCCAGCACAACTCCACTCGGGAGCCTGACTTCAGGGTGTGCTTTCGGATAATGGTTGGAAAGAGTTTTATAAAAAGGAGATTTATAAAGTCAGTTGCTCCAACACTGGGGAACGAACTGCTATTTGGTTTTATGACAAGTGATCGGCCGTATGTCTTGAGAGTTCTAGGGCAGGAATGAATAGCTAGAAGGCAAGGACCTACATTTTTCCTAATACAGAGCAGATGAGGACAAATAAAGCAGGATGAACTCGAAGGAGGACTCAGTGAACTCAGTGAAACATTAGAACAAGATGCTTAAAACCTGCGTCCTCTGTCAGTTCATTGACGGTCCAGTGCCAAACTGAGGACCCGGTGAGTCTTCTGCAGGGCATTCAGTAAGAGCTTTTCTCTGTGAGGTAGCTCCCTCTATTTTGGAAAGTTAATGGAAATAAAAAGTGTATCTCCTGTCTAAAATTTGCAATGCTGCTTTGTGAATAAAGACATAAAATAAATACTCCTGAGGTTTATCAACTGTAAAAAGGATTAATTTCTGCAGAATGAATGGAAAACTCAGCCTCATCACCTTCACTAGGGCTCTCTTAGTGAGGTCATGTACTAAAGCACTTTTAAATCGAAGCACTGCATTTTCTGTGCATTGTTTCTCCATCTGCAGAGGACCAGGCAGGCCAGCTACATGAAAGAAATACTCCTGGGGGTGCTTTCTCTGCTGTTCATTAGACCCAAAGGCAGTTCCAGATTGTTCATCGATGGGTAGAGTTTATTTATCTAATCGGCTGGTATGCTTTTTGTGAAGAACACCTACTGCATCTTAAACTATCTTCTGGCATAACCCCAGCAGGGTCAGATTAAAAATCCTGACATCTGCCAAAATGGAGCAGGAATTTGCTGAGTATTGAGGTCACATACTTATGATTTAGCAAATAAAGTCTCTGATCTGTGAGAATAATTAGCAAGCTGTCATTATAGCCAGATGTGGAGGTAGGAGTAGGTATGAGGTACCCCAATGAACCTTGAAGGACCCGTGTGTGCTGTGTTTTCTTGCACAGAAAGGGTAAGAAGTTAGAGGGACTCTTCCAAGAAACATAACTGCATGGATAAATGGACTTCAAATCTGAAAGGTTTCAAGCCAGAAAAGTTTACAGCTCAAGTGAAAGAGAGAGACACTTGCCTGGCTCAGACCCTCTTAGGAACAGACGAGCCAGCTGTGGCTGGAGGCACCACAACTCGGGGTACGGGAAAGAGGCACAACCCATGGCAATGACTAAAGACCTGCCCAAGATTCACCCATCACGCTGCAGCTGTAATTGTCTTGATCTTCTCCAGCTCCACAAAGCCAACAAACTATTGGGCTTGGACACTCAAATACATGTTTACAGCCCTCCCACTAGGTTCTCCACAGTCTTTCAAGACGTAGACCATAGGCCAAATCACACATGCTGGGGAAAGAATCCTCTTAATTAGACATTTTCTTTAAACTTGGGACACTATAAATCCACCCTGCTGAAACGTACCACATCACCTTTGGATCCCTTTGCTCCTGGCTGGCCTGGTGGTCCAGGATCCCCCTACAAAACATAAGCAAGAAAAATCTGCTTGAAATTCTCTGCTGGCAACTTACATGAAGTACAAAAAGAACAGCGTTTTTTTGTGCCCTAACAACGCTGACCGTATGGAAACAATTCAGGGGAACAGCCTGTGCTCAGACAGGCCTCCTGGGGAAAAAGGAGCAAGGAACTGTCTCCGGAGAGCATTTCACAGGGTGTCAACCGGAGAAGCAGCGATGGTACCCCCTCACTTGGGTGGTGGTTGTATTTGTGGAAATCGTTTGCCAAATTCCAGTGGAAAACAGTGCTGAGAAGTGGGCAGGAAGGAACCTGTTTTGAGAAAGGTACTGCAGAAGCTACGTGCAGAACGAGTAGTTTATACAGCGACTGCATCTCTAGCGTTGGTACTACGTCCCTTTTGCATGCTGCAGCCCTGTCCTTGGTTTTGTCTGGGTGTCAGGTATTAAAGGGCTACCTACGGAAGAGCAAAGCAGAGAGGATATTTCACTGCTCTCTTACTGGTCTCTTCTCCATCACACACGTCTCCATCTTTTCCTCTGGCCATCCAAGAGGGTTTTTTTTTTGTATGTATTTGTGTCAGGGGCAATTTCTGGGCTAACATCAAAGAAATGGTAAGAAAGGACACACCTGCAGAGCTCTCCTTCGTCAGCTTGTTTCTGAGCCACGTGTTTCTAATGGCTCTTTACTAAAGACAGATCAAAGTTCCTGCTCCCATCTGAAACACTGACATCTGAGGGGATACCACCCCTCAGAATAAACTATATCCACTGAGGAATGCAGCAGCTCTGCCCATTTCTAGGCCATAAGACAAAGCACTAAGATTTTACCCCAAAATAGAATCTGTCATTCTTCCCAGCAGCCCTACAAAGGATGGGAATTGATTCAACTTTATTTCCCAATACAAACTACATTTAATGTGCTGCTGCACTCACAGTTGCTACAGTCACATATAGAAATTAGACGCTGCCATTATAGGCAAGGGAATAGAAGGTCCTTCCCTTAAATTTGGATTTAACTTAGTCTTTCATAAATGCACTGAGGAAACACCATGCAGGCAGAATAATATGGTCTCACCTCACTGTGGACCAGCTCTCACCAGTAGCGTGCTGAGTGTATCATTTCCAAGCAGACCCTTCCATTGTCATTGTCATCTTGCACTGTCCATCTCCTAAGCTTTCTAGTCCCTCTTGGGTCACTCAGAAAAGACAGTTTTGGAGACAGGCTTTTGGGAGCGCTCCCTCTTCCGTCACCCGTTTATTGGTATCAACGTGTGACTCAAAATACCCGTTCTATAGGCCTATGGAAATGCACGCGTTGCATTTGACAGCTCACCACACGTTCCTTGCTGCAGCCCTTCCTACCCTCCTGCACCTGTTTTTCACATGCATGTGACGCTGGGTAGCTTAAAATAAAGCAGCATCTCTTACAGGTAAGCCTTGCTGTCCAGGTTTTCCTCTTTCTCCATCAAGCCCTTCTTGACCCTGAATAAAAGAGAGAGAACATGTGTTTGTTCTTGGGTACTTTTGTGGCAATGGGAAACAAAAATGGATGTAATGTGTTGTATGGGGCAGGAGAAGATACACATATCTGTGTTCTGCCAATATAGAACTGGTGGGTAGTGTACATGCTCCCATGAATATACATTGGAAAGAAACAGCTCAGAGGAACTGCTAATGACCATATAAGCAGTAAAAGAAGGTTTTTTAACGTGCCTCCAAATACACACAGCATTAATGTGAGTGAACAGTTGGAGACTGCTGTCTTACAAAATAAGGCAGCAGCACTGCTACCCTGGTGAACTGGAACTCTTCTGTACATTACTGTAATGGGTCGCTCTGACCAGCTGCTTTTGGATGGAGGTAAGACTTAAGAACAAAGGTAAGCCTTTGCAGATCAACACCAATCAGAAGGCAATGTCCTGCAAAGAGGGTGTCAGGAGCACAGAGGAATCATTCATAACCCTGGTCTTGCTTTTGAGAGAAATCCTGATAAGATTTTGGAAGCTTCCAATCTCCCAAGTTATCTCCAAGATATCTTCTCATGAAAGAGTCTACAGCCATGGGAAAATCAGTCTTGCATTTTGTCCAGCATTGACATAATTTTTCTTGTACACATCTTCCACAAGGTATTTCCTTAATAATCACAAATACCTCTAATGAGATGGTCCTGCCCATTCCCTCAGTCTAGTGCCCTCAGGCAGATGGCATTGTGAGGCACCGACCTGTAGGACCTACATTGCCTTCAGCAAAACTTTTACCACTTTAGGTAAATATATGAGTTGCTCCTCATTTGAATCACACCCATGTGCAGCGGTTGACAAGGCACAACAGTGGGTTATGAATCATGACTACTGGGCAAAGGGTAGACCTTCTGTGGGCTGATGCAGATTGGAAGCACTTCCTCAAGACAAACACTTCTCAATCCTGTATTTGGAATAAGACTCACAGGATAACCAGGGTCTCCAGGCTCCCCTCGATCACCTCTGTCACCAACGGGGCCCTACAACAACACAATAAAGACTTAAAGTGGATGTAAAGAATCTGTCATCCACAATGTCTCGATGACTTGTGCAACTCAACTAGTCCACCTGCAAAAATCAGGCCAGGATTGATTTGAGAAGGGATTTAACATCTTACTCTGTCTCCAGGTGGTCCCTGTGGTCCTTCTACCTTCCCATCATCACCTTGTTCTCCCTGTGAATAAAAATACTGGTATTAATATAGACAGCAGATTATATGGCAGATGCTTCTGTACAGACCTGATTCAGTCCTCCCATATCATGGGCTCCTAAGTCAAAGCCTCTGTTGAACTTACTGATTTTTAATCCAAAGTCTAAATGATTTTGTTCATTTGTTTGTTTCACAACCTGGAGTACACAGACTCTTCATATTGTTTTCCTGGTTTCTTTGGTGGTTATTTCTGCCTGGTCTGACTGTCCTCCCTATGGAACCAGGTGCAAAGAATTATTTTCAACAATTCCTGAAGCTAAGCAAGAAGCATGTAATTAGGACAATATGGGAAATAGTTCTCTGCCTCTGAATTTTATTGCTGACAGTCCAACCAAACTCTTTAATCAAGCATTTCCCCACCCTCGTTGAGTGCTGCCTGGGCTGTCATGGGAACAAGGCTGGTCTGGATGGGCTCCCTGGTTGTGTGCCACCAACGTGGGCTTGTCTTACAGTTGCCCAGGTGAGAGGGTCAGCCCCTTACACACTCACTGCGTGAGCAGCTCCACTCGTTGATGGGATGCTCCCCAGTAAGAGCTCAGAGATCATGGTTTGGCTGGTAGATAACGTCACCCAGATTATTTATAACTGAGGTCTCTCTAAAACATCCATAGAGAGATCCCTCAAGACTTAACACAGACACTGTCTGTTTTAATTCAATTTTATAAGCCACTTGGGGTTATAGTGTCCTATTTTTCTCTGGAGTCTAGCTCAGAGATGGCTGTTTCTTTGCTCCCCGTAGAAGATAGCTACATTCCAGCTCCTCCAGTTTTTCGCTACTTCCTATCACTCAGTCTCTGGCACTCTGGCTCCTTAGGATGAACATGTCTCAGAGCTCCTTTGATGTTGCAGCTACCGGAGAGAGGAGGTCTGTGGGTTCTGGCACAGTGGAGCTGCTGTATTTGGACTGCTTGGGGTGCTCCTAGAGCCTTCAACATCCAAATCTCCATAGCTATGCAGAGCCGAGATTTCCACAGACTTCTGCAATTCTCAGTGGTTGCACCATCCCTTTCTGGTATATTTATGACTGTCTTTGACTTCCTCTCTGGGCTACTCTCATCTTGTCTTGGAGTTGCGGTTGCTGATGGTAAGGGTGCTTAGGCAATTTCTCAGTGATTCTGCCTCTGGGAGAAGGCACTTGGGGTGCTTTTCTTGTACGTGATGTTTGGTAACGACACATCTGGAGCCATGAATAACCCTCAGTGAAAACACTCAGATAATGGAGCCAGTTGCTTCTCTTCTGTAGGAACTGGGATATGGTTTGGAATCAGGGCTATGCCACTGCTGGGAGACGTGCTGACCCGCACTGGCTTCACACGGGCTGAGCACCAGTATTGACGTTTACAGCTTGTTAGAATGAGGCTCGAGATTTTGCAAAATCTCTTGCAGTTAACTTCAACAGGTAGCAAAGAGCTCAGTGCATATCTCTCCATTACATGCTTGATGACAGTGGCATTATCTTTCTCTGCTGCTGTGACATTTGTTGGATGGATATCATCAGGAGAGAAAGGAAAGTAATGCCTAACGGGCTCTACCAACAGTTTCCAGAGCTACTGAGCTTGCTGGTTGAAGTCAGCAGCAGAATATCTGGCAACTGGTTTGCTTTCTAGCCACTATCAAAGGAATGTAGGATAGAAGGGAAACAAAGCCACCATTTCTCAAATCTCAGGGAAAAAAAAAAATAATCCCAGTGTACGTGTTACTATGCAGAAGTCGGGACACCAACTGCTTCTGCTCAAACAGGCTGTGAACACCTTGGGAGCTGAGACGAGTATGGCGAACTCAAGGAGAGCTCATAATTCTGGGGAGCCTTGAAAAGCATCAAGACTCACAGACTTTCTCCCCAAAGCTGAACTGTGGCTTTGTGTCTTCTTGAATCTAATTCCCACCTTGTTCTTTGTCTTCTGACTGAGAAAATCCCGCAGGACTGGTCAGCTCTAGGACTGCGAGACTGAGCTCCGCCAGGACTTCCTGATGCCTCAGCTGCTCAAGAGGGAGATGAAAGATCTGTGCTAATTCTTCGGAAAGTTGCAGTGAAAAAAAGTTAGAGTAAAGGGCAGAAAAGTAAACATGTTGGGATACAAATGGAAAATGCATGGAGAAGAAGGGAAGTCTTGTTGTTGTTGGCTCCTGTCCTAAAGTGAGATACACCAGTTTGTAATTTTTAAAAGGATCCCATCTGGACTGCTTTAAGCAGCTGCCAAGTGCAGGCGTCTGCTCTGAGCAAGGCCTCTTTGAGGAGCTGTAAATGTATTAAATGCAGCAGAGTGGCTGGCTGGTATGGCACAAGGGAGCTGGATTCCACAACAATGCCTCTCACCAAGCCACTTTCTTCTCTGGAAAAGGGAAGACCTTCCCCACCATTATATATTCTCCTCCTTCAGCACAGCTGCATTTACCACGTTGTTTAAAGCTCACAGAGCAGTCATGGTCCCATTTTCATTTCCTCTTCGTTTCTCAGATTCAGGCTTCCATCTTCATGTTTGCACGTGTGTGCGAGGTTACAGATGTCTGGAGGGAAGGAATCTGTCTATCCTTAGGCTGGGATCCAGGCAACTCTTAGGAGATAACAAGGAAGGATGGATAAGAAAACTTAGATGCAAGACTTTCATGGAGCACCTGGACGTTTCAGGAGATGGTGCTGGAGGCTCAGCATGTGACACTGGGCTCTCTTCATTCAGCTGGAGCTGCTCCCCAGCAAGGTGCCAGCAGACCTGCTGACCTTCACGGAACACGCGAGCGAGATGTGGCTGTCAATGGTCGTTAACAGATCTGATTGTTCTCAGCAGGACGCATTAGATGCTTTGGTGTCTTTGTCAGGCTTCAGCCTGGATACTTGCGTGTAGAATTCATTCTGTCATCCTTGGTTAAGGTATTACATGGCGTTGCTTTGCTCTGATAACACAAGGTCCATGTCACCTCTGAGAAGCGCTCTTCCAGTGTCCATTTGCAGAAGAATATTTTGTTGGTGAAGGGGAGAGTGTTTCACTGAACACTTCAGATTAATAATTTGGGCACCATTTACTACTGAAATGATGGGAGCTTTCAAGAAGATGGAAACTTTCAATGTTTTACAATAAAATAGCAGCCGTAATTTAATCAAGAGATATAAACGTATGCACATCTTTTACTCCTGCTGTAAAGCCAATGGCTGATTTTGCTTTTGGTAGTCATGACTCAAAACTTTTTGCCAGGATGCTCAAGTTTCAACAGTGGGACTATAAGAAACCTCTGGCCAGGTTCTCAACTGACAATGGGCTTGGTTGTGAGCTCTCACACTATTATCCTGGGCTGGTCATGCCTGGCTAACATTTGCCACTTCCCACACAGCTGCTCAACAGAATATGAACACTGGTGAAGTCTGGAAGAGCAAGAGGGGCAGCCTGGGAAGTGGATGGGCAGCATTAGCAAGGCTGGGGGTGGAGAAGAAACTCAGCACGGCAGTGATGGAGATGTGGAGCAGCAGGAACATCACCAGCTGTTCCTGTGCCACAGAATGAGACAAAAAGCAGCGTGACCATTGTTCATCCCAGAAGCAAAATTCCTGAGGCACGTGAACATCTTGGTGGAACACAACAGTTCATCCTGCCCCACTGTCTCCTGGCCACCAGCACAGAGGTTCGCTGCTACACCAGGAGTCTCCAGGCAGAGCACAGCCAGCAGCATGATCTGAGTGTCCTGACACCAGCAGCCTGAGCTGAACGGACACATTCACAGCCTCAGCACACACATACCCTCGGGATCTCTGTCCCACAAACTCCTTCCATAAGCCATGAAGCTCCTGCTTGCACACACACGGCTCCAACCACATCTGCGTGCAAAGGGAACGCTGAAATCTCTCTTGGTGATGGGGAGGTAGAAAACGAACAAAAAGAATTCATATATCTTTCACCTTCATGGGAACCCCATGACTGACCAGTCCCAAGCACCATCACTCCCCTTCCCACACCGAGGGAGGGAGCGTCGCTGC